ATTTAACTAAAAATATCCTAAAAACCAATAAAAAAATATACACTAAAATAAAGTAATTAAAGTAAATGTTTCTTTTTAAAAACGGGTGTGAAAGAACTTTATTTACAATCAATGCAAAAACACAGAAAAAATAAGTTTCAAACTGGAAATATCCTTCAAAAATGCTTAATCATCTACGATAAACCCTCTTCTAGTATTTATATCTTAAACTTTTATGTGATTGCCAAAACATTTAATGTATTAGATGATATATGCAAAAACAGGACTTTTTTTACAATTCATTGACTTTCTTTTAATAACAACATATGAAACTAAGTACGTAAGTTACTAAAACGTAAGTTTTAACTATGGTAGGGCCACGCAGCAGCGTCGGCTGTTGCACGAATGGGCAGGCCTGTCCGGGTAGGTACCACGACCTCACAGAAGACCGGAGTCAAGTGGAAGTATAATTACTTTCCCGTTTCGTCTGGTGAGTGAGGTAGCCGGAGCCCAATTTTCAAAGGTTGTCAACGCATCTGCAACCCTCGGGTGTAGCTGATGTCCATGGGCGGCGTTATTCACTTAACATCAGGTGAACTGACTGCTCGTTTGACAACTTTTCACATAAAAAAAAATTACTTAGTAAAATTTAACAGAAGTAAAAACTGTCCTTGTTTTCTTTATTCGCATACCGATTTTACAAACATGAACGAGCGGTATGAATGAAAAAATATCAGTCCAAAGAGAAGTTGGTTATGCGTGAACTTTGGAGCACCCAATGCAGTCGTAGTTTTGGTGAAACTTTATTAATACGGTACAGTTCTACGGTCGCAATTCGCTACTCATGAATTTTACAAGGAATGAACACGAAATGAAACCTTACCAACGTTTGTGACTTCTATGCACTTTTGCTCATTTAATATTCCACCACACATAACACTAATGAGTGCTCTTGTACTTTTATCGGATTTATTTTGATCTTTTTTGTGTGAAAAGGTGACATGCGAGCAAGTGATTCACTTGATGTTAAGAGATAACCACCGCCGTGGGTTTGCAAATGCGATGCCATCTTTTGATAAAGTGGACCCCGGCTATCTCACCCACCAGGCGAATTTAAAAATATATATACTTCCACTTCTCGCTGGTCTTATGTGAGGTCGTTGTACCCGGACGGACCTGTCCTTTCGTGCAACAGCAAATGCATGATCCTAAACTGTTTTCTCTTTCCAGGTAATCAGCTGATCAGTCAAAAAAAAATAGTGATTCTCCATTTTCTGCTCAGCTTTTAATTTTGTTATAGAGAGATAGTTTAGAACTTCTTTTTTAATACTAAGTGGTTAAACTGTTACTAGTTTGACATATATTTTAATGTCGTTGACATAGTCGACCGTAATGTTTCAAAACTAAGATACTAAGGGATTCATTTGGACTCTATTATGAAGAAATTTAATCTTTAATCAAAAAAATCATTACAGTGTATACTTATATCATCTGCTAGTAAATGTACAATATCTTACAGCTATTTGGAGGTCATAACCCGTAGCCTGTCGGCAATTTCCCAAGCAGGTAATTTAGTTCATTCAATAACGTCACCGCCATTGCCCTTTGGCGGTCCATACCGGTGATTAGTTTCACCGGGCTCCTTCCCGCTTATGTCATCCCTATCCTATACCTAAGGCACATCAATTTTGAGGCATCACTTACGTATAGTGTCATAAGTTTCAAATTCGTTTTGTCCTTATTGATGAAGTTTTTAATAATGTTTCTTACTTATAATGAACACGTCAAAAGATTCAGCCAAATATAGCAAAAGATACAGTTTATATGACAAAAATATACCATTTTGAAATATACCAAACCGATACCATTGGTCTTACCAATCGGTTTGGTAAATATAAATATCAGCTAATATGACTCCATAACAATTTTTGCATAGTTCATAAATGATTCAAGTATAAAGATCAAAATGTCCAAATTATAACTTGGATTAATTTACACAGGAGCTTCTCATTATTATCTCAATTAATAAGACGAGCTTCAATGATTTTAATGCTCGAAGAAGTCTTTAATTCAATTGGAACTGTTAACGAGAAAATTGCTTGCTTAGCAGTCTATCAATTATTGGTTCTCGATATAACTATTTTATGCCCGAGTTTACAAATACTGTCGCAACTTCAACATTCGTTACTAGACTAAATTCTTATAAACAACATAGTAATAGTACTTAGCAATAAATTTTATAATCAAATAGTAATAACCATGACTCCTCTGCTCGTATAATTTCACTACATGGTATCAAACAAAGCCGTCCCGCTGTCTTGCTGGCCTATGTATGCTTCTAGATCTTTAAAACTATGCAACAGATCTTGATGCGTTTTTTTTTTTTCAAGATAGAGTAATTCAAGAGGAAGCTTCATATATGTAAAACATTGCACCCGCGCGAAGCCGGGGCGGGTTGCTAATATGGGTTAAAAACTTTTTATCCCATAGATCAATCCTTATTCATAAAGGCGCCATGTCATGTAGCATGGCGTAGCTCAGGGTAACAAAGTACGGTAGGACTAGTGTACCACTAGGTAGTAGGCCCAAAATAATTCGGGTCAAGATTTTTTATCAAGATCTTATATTTCCGCCTCCGCCTAAGAGCATAGAATAGACAAACATAGTTTAAACCTATTCTTGCAAGAAAAATCTGATACTTATAGCAATTTGGACCTGTGCAAGAAACGTATTACGGGGCTGGGTGAACCTTTGTCTTCGTGATGGACACTTGTGAAGACGAATGGTCTTTTAAAATGTTCTGATAAAGTAGCTAACAACAAAACGGACTTTGTAAGATTATTCTTTTGTACCTCTACAACTTTTAACTCTTTGATTGACATCCTGAACACTGTTTGAACATTTTTGGTGATAGAAATGAATAGAATAAAAATAGCAAGATTCTAAAAAGCTTCGTTTAATTTATTTAAGTTAAGCCTCTAGAAATGTTCGGTGAACTAGTACCAACTGAATGTATTATTATAATTATGTATATATTAGGCCGTGCCCATGAATGCTATTATTAGTTCTATTAAGCATTATATATTTGATATATATGTATCCTTTATAAAATCTATTAAATTTAATCACACCTAAATCTCCTACAAATTTACCGAACATACGCAAAAAAACGCGACGTGGGAACATTAAATATAAATTTAATCTGAAGTCTTCGATGGCTCGGGGAAACAATACATTTAATCGAGGCAGTGATGCGTAAATGATTAGAAGTGGTCGTCAGACCTGAGTCGGGTGTTCCTACCCAACGGCATCCACTTCGGCACGTCCGTCACCGTGAAAGCTCTCATCTTCGGTATACATCGCTGAGTGTCCGCGATACCAACTTTTGAAGCTTTACCGAAATATACAGTTGTTGCCATTTACAACATAACAGCTCCCTATCGGTAAAATAATCGTACTACTTTTTTTATAATATCACTTAGTGTTTATTTATCCAATATTAAGAATATTAAATTCATCCAAAATTAATTACTACTTTTTATATATCGACTTAATTATGTTAACTGTCTGTAACTACCTATCCGATATTAAAATACCATTACGTTATTCCGCTTAAGCGAAAATTAATTTATTTTCACCCTGAGTGACTAAGCGGGTTTGGTTTTAATTTTTACTCTAATGATTAACTATTCTGAAATAGCTTGTTTTCAGGAATGTTTTACAGATATTGCCCGTTAGATACATATAATATTATTTCAATTTCTAGTATTCTCATAAATTCGATTCCCGATGGGAATCCCTCTCTTATCAAACCACTTAGACATCCGCCCCAGCGCGTCAGTTCTATCCATGTCAAAAAGTGGAAGTGTGCTTATTGCTTATTAAATATTGATAAAACTTTCACTTCGTGCCACTTCCCTTATATAGGTTACTACTCTTTTGGGAGTGAGGTAACAGGATAGGGTAATGGGATAATTCATTACTGGTTACATTCTGAAACCAATATTCTTAATACCATTCGACTGTCCCCTAGGACTTCCTAAATTAATTTGAATGCCGATTATGTAATTGATTGCGATCGTAATAATATCCAAGGAGTAATATACATCTTTATTACGGAATAACATTCAATAATACGAGTACGCGTACATTGTTATGCATTATCAATATACATTTTGTGCAGAAAAAGGATATTGAAATTATAATATATAGTGAAATCGAAGTTTTTGATTTAACAATTTATAACTATACACAAATACATACATCTGTGCTGACATTAACATGCGGGCAAAACCATTACATTAAAAGCTTTTGACTTGATTATTATTTTCATATCATCATGTGCAGGTATAAGGGATACTCCTATAATATTTGGCAGAAACAAAATGGAAGGAGGGGAGATGTATCATAAATAACAATTAATATTTTTAAAGCAAATTCAATACAAATTATTTGCAATTAAATTACCGTACTAACATCTTTTGATTTGATTACTTTTAGTTACCGAGCTAATAATTACTAGTATTTAACTAGTTTTAAAAAAATGTGTAGATGCACCAGGTTATAATTTCCATTATATTCTGTTCATCGAAATTGGTGTTTTAAATACATTGTTATTAATGAAGAAATATTGACGATGTAATTTTTCTTCGACTTAAACATTTAATTCAAAGGAACTCTTGTCGCTTTGTTAGATTTAACCATTCTGGGAACCAAAGATACGAGTAAATGAGCTTAACAGTACAAACATTGATTTTGTACTAGCGACCTCCCTAGCCCACTCCCACATCACATGGGTAGCACTAATTATCCAAAAAAAAAACTGCTCGACCTTGCATCTGCCAAACTGTATCAACCACTAGACCTGGATCACCCACTAGACCTGAAGATTGCCTGACAATTTCATCAAAAGCTCAGCCGTTTGGAATCATACGAGTACATAAACACATCGTATTTATAACATTATAGATTCTAACGTTCTGATGACGTTTATTTTGATTTTGCATGCTATTTTGTTTCAGAGCATCGTGTCCATCGTCTCTTTTCCATACGTGGGAGACATTACTGCAGGAAGTTGAGACCGACGTGGTGTGCTGCAGCAACGCCGCCACATCCTTGGAACGAGTTGTGGCCACACCGCTCATAGAGCGAACCTTCTACATGAAAGTGCAAGCACGAAAGCTCTTCGCCCATCGGGAAGGCTGTGAAGTTATTTTGGGCAAAGCCGACGACCAACTCAACAAGGTAAGTGACCTTATAATGTTGACCTTCATTGCTAGTTTATACCTCAGCAAACTTATTAATAAACCTTTTTCTATTATTTATTTATACTAGCAACCCGCCCCGAATTCACACGGGTGCAATGCTGATACTAAATATACTCTTCTATGTTTTTCTACTATATTATGCATATAAACATATAAACATACATATAAACCTTCCTCTTGAATCACTCTATCTAGTAAAAAAACCGCATCTACATCCGATGCCTAGTTTTAAAGATCTAAGCATACATAGGGACAGACAGCGGGACGCTTTTGTTTTATACTATGTAGTGATTTCAAAACTTTTTTCACAATAGTGTACAATGGTGGACTTCAGAACATTAGGTGTTCTCTAACCGACAACCTACAAATAAATAGAGAAAATGTGAAATAAAGCCAACAAGAGAACAGACTCATTGATGTTATGTGATTACCGCCGCACATGGATATCTAAAACAACTGACGGCTCGCTGATATTTGCCAACCTCACTCACCATATGAAACGCGAAAGTATAGTCCTTCCACTTCACATCGATCTTCTGTTAGGCCATGGTAATTCCCCGGGGAGCCTGCCCATTCGTCCAACAGAATTGTCTGTTGCGTGTCCCTGCCACAGCTAGGCAGATAGAAATCAGGACTTATGTAGCTACATGAACGTGAACATGTCTTAATGTTCAATCTTAAGGGCAGAGATTCGCACTATAAAAAACTTTAAAATTGACATGAACGTAGTTGAAGTGTATGTAATATATTCCTTTAACTAGCAAGTGGGTCCCTGGCACAGGTACTGTTCAAATAGTACAATTGATTCATGCACTATTCAACACAAAAGCTTTCACTCCGAATCCGAAAACCGGCACAAAGCTATTGGCTAAATACTATTGTTCGTCCCTCAATTTCTACTCGATGGGCGGTGCCTATTGTTACAGCATCTTACGTCTCAACTTGATTGATTTTCACATTACGATATTATCTTGAAATTCTTAGTGGCCCATAGGACCGGATAAATGTTTATTACAGCAGTGATGATATTACATTATTATGTTTTTAGGATATTAGTTTAACTTTTATATTTTCTTTCCAAAATCACAACGTGTCATTGAGTAAATCACAATCACTGATTATATCGTGATTGATTAATAAACTCGATAAAATTACCAGAATATTAATTATAAAATATTGTACTCTTATAATTTTAACTTAAAAATGGTTTGGTTCTATTTAAAAAAAAATTAGAAAACTCACATGTTCAGATCTCATCAGTTCATTATCTACAGAGTTAAAGTTAGTACTCAAACCTTTGTAAAGGCTTCTAGAGATAACAAAAACTAACATAAGGTAACAGCATACAAAATTTTCCTTGAGCGGTCTTTTTACTAACGAAGCTATAATCTTATTTTCCACATTCGTAAAGGCGCTTGCTTGAAACATGCTCTATAATTCCTCCTCATTTTGGCAAAATAACAGGTAAAGGTGACAGGTGTTGCCTTTGAAGAGGCAAAAGTGCAGGGATTATCTTCAAACCAAAAATAACCTCTATTTTTATCTAAACTTAACTTAATTTTGGCTTTGTAAATTAAAAACGTAAGAAACAATACGGATTATAGCGAATATTCAATAGTTTTACTGTACCCAACGAATAGCTTGCATAATTTATTAAGCACGATACGAATTTGTTGTTCCTATTGTATCCTCATATTTTAAACATCATTTTTGACAATGTAAAAGGAGTCAACCAAGATGTACATGGAACTATAGTTATTTTCAAGGCTTTTCTAAGTATCAATCTATATCATACAAATTATTTAAAACATTGCCTATGAACACCATTGGAAGAATTATAAAGCTATTTAGGGTTCCGAAAACCTGAATTTCATGCTTCGTGGTAGTTTGTGCTAAATTTCTTGCTGCACACTGCTGAACATAAGCCCCCCTTATGTCCAGCAGTGAACTCAAACGAGCTGAAATGATGATGATGAACATTAAATAATTTTATTATTATTAAATTATTCATAACTGAGAGAAACATTTGATTATGCTTGAGTAACGAATGAGGTCTATCGCTCATTCAAAAACAACTAGATTTTATGGTTCCTTTTTGTCTAGCAATAGTGTATAAAACGTGGAACTTTATACAAAACAGCATTGACGCTTTGTTAACGCCTGCTTTATGTCACATGCAGCTGCTATTCGGTTCAAAAAGTCACAGCTGTCGAGAGGCTTTACGACTCGCGGTATTAATATATCTAGTTTATGTCAAGATGCTCTGATATCACGGCTCTGATGTAGAGCCGTGATAGCTCAGTGTCCGGGCGCTCAACTTTAATTCAATATACTCGAGCAACCTGAGTTCGATCCCCGGTTGCCGGCACCAATGAAGTTTTTAACTTTAAGTGCTGACTTATCACGTGCTCCGCAGTGAAGGAAAACATCGTGAGGAAACCTGCATATTTTAGAAATAATAACAAAAAAAATATATTTCGAAAATATGTGAGGTCCGCCAATCCGCAGTGGGGCCGCGTGGTGGACTGTGCCCTGATACCCTCTGTATAGAGGAGGCCTTTGCCCAGCAGTGGGACATGTATAGGCTGTTACTTTATGTCAAGATGTTATGTAATTTGTTTTGGTATCAATCTCTAAGCGCATTACAGATATGAAATCATGTTGTCATACACATTTCATTTTGCTTTACAGATATCATTGTTTTCACAACTAATGGCCATATTTCTCAGACACATGTCGTACATAACCAGTAATACAGGTTGTGTACGGCATGCGTCAATACATTACATACTATTATTTCAATACCATAATAAACTTGCATCAAACCTTATCCATCCGTACATTTTATTTTGGGCTTATACACTGTCAGTCAATGTTAAATATCCCGGATGAATATTATAGAATCGAAATATGTGGTCCTACAAATTATTCAGTTCCAAATGTTTCTTTTATTTCTTCTGACATTGTTTTTGCACCAAGCTCATTTGTTTTAATCCAAAATTTAACCATAAGCTTAAGCCGATATGAAAGATTTACTATTTTTAACTGAATATATTGCCATTAATAGAATATATTACCAGACATATCTTTTGAATGCTCTGAGAGAATTAATTATATTGTGTTAATAGTTTTCCTTAATTACTGTACATTTAAGAATAACCGAAATGTGATATTTTCAAAATCTTATTACGCTTGGTTAAATAATACGGAATCCGTAAATTCAGCAGTTCCATGCATCATCTCGGAAATAATTCACTTGCGTCATTAAAACGGCACTCAATTTACTTTGAAATTTTACATTTGATCTTATGTGCCGTCCACATAAAAATAATCTTTTCAAATACTATATTGCAAATATTTATTAAATAAAATAAATAAAGTATTGCGTGTTCTTTTAATCATTAATAGAAAAACAGACAGCGAAAAGCCTGAAATTAGTTACAATTCGAATTCAAAACGTGCCTTACAAAAGAATATTAGAGTGTACAGACAAAGATGTACCGATTTCGTTTTATATTATGCGAATTCAATCATAATGAAACAAACACACATTAATAGAGTAGATCTTAACCGAAATACCGTTTTTCGAGGTGGCCATTAAATGTTGACTTGGAGTCACAAAATTGTTTCACTACGTTTTGTTTTTCGTTTCATTTAAAAAGAGATTTCACAAAACAATTGATATACCTAAATGATAACTCCAAATGTCTAGTTCCTTGGATTGAAACAACTTTTGTACAAAGGCCCTGCTTATCTCTTAAGAAATTTCTTCCAGTAGACCTGTCACTGGGTGAATAAGTTACAATGTAATGTATCTTCCTTTACATATTCAATTGAAAATGATTTTAAATAAGGAATAAATAACTAAATGTGTACGGATATACAAAAAATATTGTCTTTTCAATTTAGTTATCAATCATAACAAGATAATATTAATAGAAAAAGTTTCGAACGACACTGACACTTTGGCCTGGGAATGTTTTGTAAAAGTTTCTGAATGACTTCGGCTTCAAAGCAAAGTTAATGAAATTTCTATTAAATTGGTTTAAGGTATTTTCCCGCTGAAGTTCCTAATTAATAATTAATTTTCTTTCATGCGTATTAATGCCGCCAGAAAAAGGAAAAAGGGTTTCTATAGAAAGAACAGATTTTTTTTTTTTTACTTCAGTAGAAAATATTTATTTAGTCATCAGATGATACTTGTCAAAACCGTACAAATAGCAAATGACTGAGCAAAATAATGTGAAACCGGCGTGAAGTAGAAGTGTTATACTTCGTTTCGTCTGGCGAGGGAGGTAGCCGGTTTGCGACAAGCATTGGTTGTTGCAAATGTCCATAGACGTTTATCACTAAACATCAGGCGAACCGAAAGACACTAACCACATCCTCACATAAAAAGAAAATAACAACAATTCTTTAATCAACAATAACCAATGATTGTCTAACCGCTTACATATCTTACAAATTTTGGCAAAATTAAAGGAGCATTAAATTCTATCAACCAGCGCCCGGGGTAACATCGTAAATTAGAATTTCTGTGCCTGGTGTAATTGTTTGTTATCTTATTTACACATTGCTCGTTATTGAAGACAAATAAAGGACGCTCGAGGTAAAATGTAAGGCCAAACAACGATGTTGTTTCTTTTTAGTATGTCATAACCATCTCCTACGGGCACCGACAACACCGAAATGTTGAAAGCGAGCTGGCAATCGACCAATTAACTTAGGGATGTATCCCTACTGCACTCACTTTACTTGGATTGCTCTTTGTTTTAGTAGTCCTTGATCGTGGTGGCCTATTCTTACAGCACTGACTGTTGTTTAAACTATTGTTACTTAACACAAATCAAGCCCACAATGAAATAAATAAGCTAAATTGTACCTGCTTTCTTGAGAAGTGAACGTCGGATACAATATATCACTAATGATATCATTTTTTTTTTTCTCGTAAAGAAAAGAAGGAAAAAAAATCTAACA